TGGGCCACGGCAAAGGGAGCAGTCCCGGCTCCAGCGCTGCCCGGGGCTCCCTCCATTCGGTCCGGTTTGGACGGCGCCGCGGGGCGGGCAGCACCCTCCAGGAGCGCTGGGACCATGCGGCGCAGGGGGCCCTAGCAGGACCTCGCCAGGCGCCGAAGCATCTTGGGAGACGCTAGACGCAGAGGGATGGAGCAGAGACATTTCAGACTTGAGCAACAACCGAGCGATCTCGCCTGGCTTGAGCACAGAGCGTTGCTCTTCCAGAGAAGCAGCCCCAGCACAGGTGGGGACCCCGCTAAGTTAATCCGACCCTCGCAAGCCGCAACCAAAAACACATGGCTCCAGGACTGAGGCCAGGTCTTCCACATACTTAGAAACATAAATGAGATTCAATCAAAACATCAATGTAGCTTTCCCTGAGGAACCCCCGTGTCCTGCGAACCATCGCTCCTGCTGGCTCTTTCCTAGCTCCAGCTCAGGCTGGAGGTTGCCACTATGTTGCCGCCTCCCGCCGGAGCCCCAGCTCTCACCTTACGGGTTACAAAGGCTTGGGGCCACTGCATGGATCCATTGTTAAAATACCCATTGAGGTATATTTTTTTAATTGCATATGATTTTGAGAAAGCATAAAAACAATCTTTCCTGGCCCTACTGTGGAAATGCAGAGAACAAACAAATTACTCCTGGAGTTTGGCGATAATAGGCTGTTTTGGCTGAAAAAACAGGCAGACAGAAATTGAGCTCAGATACGTTGTGCATTTTTATTACAGTAACTCCTGGAGGGCTCTCCTGTGTCAGACACTTCAAAGAAATCTCCAGTTTCATCCCTGAATAATTTACTCTCTCCCCAGACAAGACAAAGAGCAGGGGGAACAGGCCCGCAGGGGAGGAGGCATCCACAGGAGGCGGCACCTGGGAAGCTGGTGCCAACAACACGTCCGGCTCTGCTGCTTCGCCCAGATGGCATTCAAGGACACTCCTGTGGCACGACCCGGGGACCATTCAGAAAAGCTGTTAGAAAGCTGCCTAACTTCACAGTTACGCTATTATACTCCATATACAAATATCCCATGCAAGAGTTAGTTATACATGCATCTAAAGAGCAGGGAAGACCTGCGTCGGCCGCATCCTTGTCCTCCTGCTGGTGCTGGGGCAGAGGTTTTCTCCAGCTTTACAAAATGTCAGTTTGCAATAGCTCCCTGCTTGCCACTGAAGA